CACATACACATAAACCATGTACACGTCGACTTATTTTTACTTAAAAAAACATCCCAGAATTGCACAAAAATGGCATTGCGCACACTCTTCACTATATCCATGTACACTGCTTTTTTCTCATAAATTAGAAAAATTTCACGAAAATACATGACAATTTTCTGAATCTTTAAACCCGGTAAAAAGAACATATATGAAATTACCTGATCGCGAAAAAGTATTTACCCTTTCCAAATATGAACATTTCCACATATAAAATAAATAAAATATCCAAAAACTTTTACCTCTAAATCATCTATTATATTATAAACGTCACCAACGAATTCATACCGCAAACATTACAAATACTTAGTGTCAAATATTTAAATTATTTCCATGCACGTTTACTTCAACTAAAACGTATACCAAATTCCTACAAACATAAAATTCACAAAATAACTATCATTTAATTAAAATATCACTAAACCATGTACACGTCGACTTATTTTTACTTAAAAAAACATCCCAGAATTGCACAAAAATGGCATTGCGCACACTCTTCACTATATCCATGTACACTGCTTTTTTCTCATAAATTAGAAAAATTTCACGAAAATGCATGAAAATACTATACTACTACAAACATATAACTCACAAAATCACGATCATTAAATTATAATTAAATTAAAAACACTACTTAAAATATAAATAAGCACATACATTAATAATAATAAAAATTAGATTACAATCCTAATTACTTTAAACTAAATCATTGCTAATAACAATTTTCCAATAATACCATTTTAATTTATTTACTCCTTACATTTAGAACAATGCATAAAAATAATATCCTCAAATGATTAAAAATACTAACTTACCTAATCTTCTTCAGAATCTTCATTACGTCGCTGCAGTACTACTGCTAATTTCTAAATCCTAAATCCAGTAGTCAACTGGAAGTCTATTCACCAAGTAATAAGAAATTAATAAAATTTCACCTATACTCAAACTACTTTCAGCAAACCACGTACCCTTCCTTACACTCCTTTTCACAAAATGTCCATTTTCACCATATTTCTTGCACCGCCATTTAAACTTGTAATATCCTTCCTTTCACACAATCTCAACTTATTATTATTATCAGATAAACGCATTAAAAATTTAGAATTCACTTTACATAGCGCCATGCAATCCGAAAATTAATCAACACTATTTCACACAACACACAATGAAGCTTTTCCAAATTAACCCCCTTTTCCGATTAAAGAACTGTAATTCGTCCATTAATGTCACGTTTCACACAACACAGAATATAGCTAAATACGAAATTTCCAGATTTCCCCCTTTTTCCGATTAAACAACTATAATTCGTCCATTAATGTCACATGACATATCTCATGATCTCTCATTTCCCTCACACAAAATAATGCGTAATTGGAACTGAGTGCTTTTCACATTATTACCAAAGTCCTAGGTAGTAACCTTTATCACCTCTAAAATGTTGCCAAACTACCAGTTACCATATTCCAAAGATCAGCCCTAGTATTATCACATTATCCACCCAGCCAGTAACATGAATCACGGGTATTATGTTGCTGAAGAAGGCAGGCTAGTGTTTTATGAAAATGTACTTTGTTTAGGAAATCACTAGAGGCTATATGGGGTTCTGGAATTCGAGAGTTATGTCTGTGGTTTCCACTTGTGATTAATGCGTACTTCTTTTTATTGTAACTAATCATAATGCAACTGTGTAGTTTGCCTGTTAATGAAAAAGAAAATCTTGCAATTTTTTTTTTTTTTTTTTTTTTTTTTTTTCAGAGCTAAGACATTTTGTCTATTATTAATGTAGAAATGCATGCCCTATGAAATTGTATTTTTCCAATGATCGAATAATCCAACCTATTTTGGGAAATTCATTAAGAAAATTGGGTAAAAGCACAGTTTAGGGTACCCCCCTTGGTTTTTTTGGTGGTACATGGATACCGAGTTTGTGCAATTCTTCGACTCATTATTTTGGCTTGCCAAAATAACAAGACAAACAATTGCACAAACTCGGTATCCATGTACACATCAACCTATTTTCACTTTAAAAAAAAAAAATCCATGAATTTTACAAAAATGGCATTGCGCACTCCTTTGACTTTATCCATGTACACGCCAACCTATTTTCACTTAAAAAAATCCCAAAATTGCACAAACTTGCAGTGTGCACTCCCTTTACTTTGTCCATGTACACATCGATATATTTTTACTTAAAAAGCCAAAGAAGCACCCAATACTACGATATAGGCAAACAAAAAATACATAATCTCAATAAAATACATTTTAAACCAAACAACAAAATAACATAAGAAAAACCATGTTATGCATTTAAGCATTACCAAAAGCAAATACAGTCAAAAGTCGTTAATTCGGACACCCATAATTCGGAATGATCTATAATCCGGACATCAAAACTAAAAACTTTCTGCGCATGCGCCGCGTTGACACATGCGCAGAGGCGTTCACGCGTGCGCGTAAGAACTTTTACGACTGCGCATATGAGTGTGCGCAAGTGCAGAATACGTTTTCGTGTGCGCATTTTATGTATAATGGACGTATAAGCTAAAATTATCTAATTATCTATTTCAGTTAATGTTGATGATTGCGTTGTTCCTTAATTTTCGAATTGGATCCGGCTTATTATTTTTTGCAGACTGTAAGAGCAATTTTATAAAAGTAAGCTTAAACTTTCGATTATATCAAATAGAATTTCCGATATATATTGTTAATATGTAAAGGATCTAAAGCGAAAGTATGTTTTGAAATCCGAAATCTGTTTATCAATTTCACGCTGCTCGGCGGGGGGGAACGCCGGTGGGCGCGTAATGAATTGGAAGTTGATCTGTCAGCACTATCCTTATCTTCAGCGCAGATGTTTTTATTTTATTTGGCTTATAATTCCTTACCAAATGTAGTATTTCATCTCAATATGCTCCGTCTTTGATATGATTTAAAACAAGTTCCTCGTCATTATAATTCGCTTCCGATAGCGAAGAAAGTGACAGAGGTTATTGAAAACAAAAAAATTTCGATTGACAAATTAGTCGGTGTTCTCGACACAGCAATTATAGGACTTGAACAGCGGAACTTTGTAACTGAACAAGAAATTATGTCTGTTTAATAGAATTAAAGAGAAAGTATTATCACATGAAACGAAGCAAAACTTAAACAACTTACATTGAAAGAAATGTTTAATAAAGTAAACAAATAAATATTAAGCTTTTTCTTTTTGCAAATTTTGATACCCTTTAGATCATAATTGTTCTTTATTTCATAAATTACGGTTTCATATTTTTAATTTTAGAATTTCTGCATGCCATCTTACGAGATTTAAACTGATGATCTATAATCCAGAAAAATCGATAATCCGGAATCGCCGAAGTCCCGACGAGTCCGGATTAACGACTTTTGACTGTATTCATTTACCCTATTTAGAAGTTCCTTCGTCTTTAGTCTGTGGGACACAAAATTCTTTAACAGCATCCAAAAACTTCCTAAAATGCTCTGAACTCGAATCCGTATATGGACGTCGCCACATAAATTCACATATATATAAGAGTAAAAAATATCCTGTGTAGTTCCCGACTGTCGATGACACTTTTTTCGAAAATCTCTCTTCACCACACTTCCGTCTTGATGATTTTCGAGTTCGCTTCTTACACCCAGAGCCACGTAAAAATCAAAATATCAATCATATTAAATGACTTTTTTCAAACCAGGTACCCTTTCTGATCGAACGCTTCACATAGTGACCATCTGAACCTTTCTTCCTACAAACCCACTCAAATCCATCTAAATGTTTTTTATGTTCGACTAGACGCATATCCTTCCTATATAAAGGACACGTATAATGGCTACTAAGTAAACCTTCATTTACACACTACTCAATTAACGCTCTTTTCCCCTTTCGCTCCAAATCATACAGAAACTTCAAGTTAATCTTACTATATTCAGCCATTTCTACCTGTCATAAACCAATCAAAATAACCACATACTTCCTAACCAACATCCAACACACAAACCGCTTACAAAACTTTTCCCATGATTCAAAATTTCTCAACAATCATGCACAACCGATTACGTCACAATAGGGTTTCCATAACATTCAACCACTCAGGCTAACATAAATGAAACAACAACTTCGCGATAATACAAGGGGTACCTTAAAGTCTACTCTAACTAAAAATTGTCAGGAATGAAATTAAAAAAAAAAAAAAAAAACTGTTTTGAAGAGATTTAAAAGCAGATAGTTAAACCATCGACAGTAAAAATGTAAATATTGTCTGAATTGACTTTCATTATTATTGTTAAAGTAATAAAATAGTAATCATTTGAATATGCATTGGTAATACTCATTTGGTTAGCTTTATCTCGTATGTTACACTTTCAAAAAAATCTTGCAGCTCGAGAGTAGTTTATGATTTGTTCTTATGTGATTGTGATTACTGTTTTCGGCTCTAGTGTAGAATTGGATGCCCCTTCAATTAATGACAAATTTTGGCAATGAAACCTCATTTCTGGTTACCATGATAGCTTTAACTTTGTTTTAGCTTCCTGATTTTTTTTAAGTGAAAATAAGTTGATGTGTACATGAACAAAGTTAAGGCAGTGCGTGCAATTCTCTGATCTCTCTACCTAGTTTCTGCAATTCTCCGATTATTTTTTTTTTAAGTGAACATAGATCAATGTGTACATGGACAGAGTTTGTGCAATTCTTTTGATTTCTTATTTTGGTTTTGTGCTAACAGTTCTATGCAGAAAAACAAGAACCTAGTTTAAAATGAATAAGCTTATATTTTATACAACAGATATTAAACTGAGACTATGAAAAGAGAGAACACAAAAAGGTGACATATAATTTTTGTTTATATAACTTTAAAAATACTGTATTACTGAGTTATTTCATAAAATATTTTACACAGTGTATATTAATATGATACTTTCTAGACTTAAAAAAAAAAAAAGTGGCTTACATTAAGGCCTTCCACTTTAGTAAATCAGTCCCTGATTAAGCAGCATGACAAAGCACTAAAGATATAAGGATAGACGGTAAAATTCCTTTTACGTTATTCTTCAGAAGAAAAAATAATCTAAATTTTAATTCAGTAAATTAGTTTCTGTGGCATGTTTCTTTATGATTTTCTAAAAGTTCAATGGAGGAATGTCCTTTTTGACATACATTACAAATATGAATCTTTTCATTTGCATGACAAAGAATATGTTCTGCTAAAGAATTTTCATCATCAAATCCAGTTTTACAGATTTCACAGCTATACCTCTCTTTATTTTTCTTAAAATGTGTTTTATAATGTCTCTTCATTTTTAATTCCGAAATGAATTTTCTATCACATACTTCACAAGTATACGTTTCATTGCTTACATGTACAGAATAGTGCATCTGCAGTCCAACTTTTGTAGTATATTGTTTTGAGCACTTATCACAAGCAAATGGTTTTTCTCCAGTGTGCATGATGAGATGTCTTTTGAGGTTTTGCCTCGTAGCAAATCTTTTACCACATGCATCACATTCATATGGCTTACTTTTACCATGCTTATTACGCTCATGTATGAGTAAAATGTATCTATGATGATATGATTTATGACAAAAACCACAAGTATAAATTATTTCTGAATGATTTTGTTTATGGACACGTAATGATGTTTTTGAAGCATAAATTCTCTTGCAAATTGAACAAACATGAGTTCCAATACCAATATGAGCATCTCTATGGGTTTTTAATATTGCTTTAGAGGTAACAGTTTTATTACAAACATCACATTTATATATTTTACGCCTTATTCGTGAGCTTAAATTTGAAGTAAATTTGTTGTCATCATTTTCTTCTTCCGTAAAAGTGTCCACAACATATGATTTAGTTTCTTGATTTAGTTTAAAACTGTCTTCTGCATTGTTTGGTTTTATATCTAAAGCCTCAGAATCATGTGTGGTAACATTTCCATGCAATATAGAACTTTTAGCTCCTGATACACAAGTTTCAATATTATTACCTGATATTTCAGTTTCTTGACTGTCATTGTTCTGAACATAAACAGTAATAGATTTAACATTGCGTGAAGAAACTGTTTCATTTTTTTCATTATCTGTAGCATCCTTGACCTCAAAAGTATTACTTTTTCCCTCAGATTGAAAAGAGTTTTTAGAATTACTATCATTCATCGGTTGAACTTCAACTCGTTCCACATCATCATTTATATGGGAAACCACGCAGTCAGACACGTCACAGTCATATATCACAATGTTATCACCATAATACACACATACATTATTATTTTCTGAAGAGAAATTGGTAATAGAATTTGTATTATCTGTTTTATTGTTTCCTGAGTTGCTCGCTTTTTCTGTGGAATGAGATAATTCTAGTATTGAATTATCTACAGATGTAACATCTGGAAAAGTATTTGCAGACTCTTCAATATTAATTTGGCCTACGTTAGAATCAACAGAATCTGACATGGAAGAAATATCATTATCAAAAATATTTTTATTACATTTTACATGAGACACTATGATATTTTGTGCATCATCAGTAAATTGCACAAGAGACATTTGGTTCATACCTGGATTATTATGATCATCATTTGCACAAGATGTGAACTCATCAATTTTAGGAGTGACTATATTATCCTTTTCACAAGGACGGTGTATTAATAATTCTGCCTCAGAATAAAATTTCTTTCCACAGAGATTGCAAGAAAATGATGAAATAATACTATGCAATACATAATATTCTTCAATATGCTGTAAGTAATGCTGTTGCAATAAATTCTCGTTTACAAAACACTGTTCACAGGCATCACAAATATATTCTCCTTGAGGCTTATGAGACATGTAATGCATCTGTAAATCAATCTTTTGATAAAAACCTAAACTACATATATTGCAAAAATAACGCTTTCCACTCATTTTCAATGCTAAATATCCCTTTTCTACAAGACCAAATTTATGCTCATTGTTTTTATGATCTAACATTTGTTTCTCATCTAAAAATTTTGCTTTGCATACATCACACTCATAGCTTGCATCAATCAAATGAGAGAGATAATGCTGCTCATATTCAAATAAAAGAACAAAAAACTTACTACACATCTCACAACGACGATATATAGTCTCTGTTTTTCGTTTCCTAATTTGATTATTGAAACTGCTTTCTGGATGTTTTCTACGCTCATGAATTTCTAAATTATTCAGAAGCTGAAATCCTGCATTGCAGAAATTACAAAGAAAGCGAGCTACGCCGATATGTTTATTATAGTGCTGTGTGAGACGACACTGTTTGAAGAATACTTTGTTGCAAATGCCACAAACATTAACTCTAATTTTGGGCTTTAACATCATTAAAGGTTTATTGAAAGTCTCGCTATTAAAATAAATTCATTGAAATTATAACTGTAAAGAATTTTTATGACAATTTCAAAATGCAACAGTTCCTACATATACATTCTATATACATTCTTTATAAGACAGACAGACAAAGTAGACAGATGTCTTGTTATGCACCCGCTAAGTCTTTCTGCACCGATGGGCGAAAAATGAAGCATAGATGCGAAGGAAAGGTATATAGAAAGAGGGGCAATTTCGTATTTGAGGAGAGTAAAAAGGAACTTCGTACATCTTGTACGAGTTCAAAAGGCCAGGAAGAAAAGATGGGACAAAATAAAATTTAAAATAAATGGCCCAAAAATAATAGAGGAAAAAAAAAAAAAAAAAAAGAAAAAAAAAAAGAAAAGGCCTATAGAAAGAAAAGGAAAAGAAGTAGAAAATATCCTAAAATACGATTGTGTCCATGAGTGTAGTTAAAAGGAGGAGAAACTGTCTTCATTTACAATAAATAGTGTCTCACAGGTGCGTGTTTGTAGTGAGTGTGTTTGGTAATGGTGAATAGATGTGTTACTGGGGAAAAAACAAATATTGACGGTGTTAAAATGCTTCGTATCAAGGCGTTTAGCATGGAATATAAAGTAATATGTATGCTTGCATTCTGAGATATCAACAAAAGTCATCAAACAAAAGTGTATATTAATTTAACCAAAGTAACTTATGCTACTTTCATTCTCAACATTTTCATACATTTTTCAAAAAACAGCAGCAGACTAACAACATAGAACCATATACAATACAAGACCACAACCGCACACACCAAAATATATATATATATATATATGTAAGATAAAATTATATGAATTAGAATTATAATATAACTATAAACATTAATTCTTCCTCTTTATTCTAAAATCGTAATAACTTCTCTGCATTGCGTCATTTCTAGATCACTCTATGGCCCGCGCAGCTCTGGCGACGTAATAATTGTAAACCAAAACTTTTCTCTTCGCGTGCTTCCATCTGTCATAACTACGCACTTCAGCTTTTGCTCTCTACTTTGCTAAGATGTAATTTCGCTGGCTTGCTTTCTATCTCAACAATATCTAAAATGTAAATCTTCTGTGGAAAGGCACGACTAGAGTGCCAAGTGATCTGTGGCCACATATGTCAATTGGAAATAAAAATGGAATTAAAATCGCTTCTAATGCCAAGTTTTATTTACGAAGTCAACACATTAGCTTACGACGCAATCAGATTACTTCCTCTTCAATATAGGATAACTACGCATCTACAGTGCTCCGTCTTTTCCTTGTGCTTTTATTATGACAATTAAGCCGGTAGGATAGTTTTCTGCAGCCTGAAACCTCAATGGAAAATTTAATTCAGCTCTTCAAATCATCGTTTGGTGATAAATCCAAGATAATGTGAAAGAAGTGAATCATCAAGTTTGTGTTTTCAGTGTTTAAAAAATAACAGATCATTCTTCTGCTGTGGTATTTTGCAAGTGCTTCAAAAAAATAATCACGCGTAGTGTTTACAGATTGAAAGTAATCTCTCGATAAATTGAGAAGTTCGAATGCCTAGTGAAAAGGAAATCATCAGTGAATTACCGTTTAGGAATTCAGCATTACAGCGGGTTCAAGGTCGATCTGAGTTAGTGTTTGCAAGTATGTGCGACAGAAAATTATTTGCACTTCCGCTTTTTCAACAGCTCAAAAATTATTACATTCGTGTGAATCTAGCTCAGGAACTAAATTATTTAATGTGCTGCGGATTCTATAGTTTTTATTTCAACTTTGGTTAAAATTTCTGCAATAATTTGTTTTGAGAAAATCTAAAATTCTTGTTCATTAATTTTTCTAATTTTTCATAATTATGTGTGAGCAAATTGAGTAACGAATTTTAAGCTATTTAAATTATTCATAGGGAAGGATATTAAGATAAGTTTTTATGTTTTTGAAATTCTGTTGAGAATTTTGAATACGAATTTTATAATTATTGTAAAAATGAAGTAGGTGTAAAAAAATAAGTGAAATTATTACAGATATGTAATATGAAGTTATGGTAAATGCATGTTAAAATTTATGGGTTATTGTGTGTTAAGTATAGTATGATGAGGGTGTACTGGTTCCTTCAACAGAGGCCTGTAATTACCTCTGTACAGTTGTTCCCTTCACCCTCTTCAAGTAAGATAATGTTGGAGGCTCTCATTTTATGAGTGTTTGTAATTTTTTTATATTATTATTATATATTTTTTTTATTATGGAATGTATTAGTGCAGTTCTCAAAGGCCAGTTTACCTTAATGCAAGGAACGGAGGCCTTTTCAAGTAACTGCCTAGGCACCCTGGGCCACCAGTGCAGAGAACACACTGGTTAGCTCAAGAGGACAGCCCTATTGATGAATATGTTTGTTTAGAAGTATTGCGCGGCTTCCAGTTTGGTAAAATCAGGAATTGTAAATGAAAGATGCTAACGGTGAAACCATAAATTCTGAAAATCTTAATCCTATTATTTAGAATGCTAAATTATAATTTATTAGTATATAAATAAGTATCATAAATATTTATGTGCATTACATTTAATTATAAGTAAAGATTATGTAAAAGTTTATTTTGTGATATTCTGTGATAACAAGAACCTTCCCTGAAGAATTAGATTATATGTGAACTCTCAAACAAAAGACTTTTGAACTGAAATGCTGAAAAATTCAATAGGACTCTAAAAATTAAAAATTTAAAAATTGATTATAAATACTTTACAAGACAAAAATTATTATTTTTTTACTTGCTAGTTAAAGCCTCTTTTTCTTTAAAAAGGCTTCTGTCGTTTTACGCCTTTTTTTTTTGAAGGGGGGGGGAATATGTTAAAATTCTATGAAGCACAAATTAAAACTTATATAAAATTATCCCTCAAATCGTATATAAACTTTCTTCATTTCGTCTTTACTCACTCTATATCTTTGCGCTGCCATGATGATTCGTCATATTAATTGTAAATGTACCAAAAACTTGTTCTCTTCGCGTGCTTCCATTCTGTCATAACTACGCACTTCAGCTTTTGCTCTCTACTTTGCTATCTTCTGTGGAAAGGCACGACTAGAGTGCCAAGTGATCTGTGGCCACATATGTCAATTGGAAATAAAAATGGAATTAAAATCGCTTCTAATGCCAAGTTTTATTTACGAAGTCAACACATTAGCTTACGACGCAATCAGATTACTTCCTCTTCAATATAGGATAACTACGCATCTACAGTGCTCCGTCTTTTCCTTTGCTTATATGTATGTGTGTCTAAATTACTGAGTATATGTATTAAAAACACAAATTAAACAGTATTTGTTAATTTAACTATCATAATTTATTACAAGATTAATTACTTTACTATCATAATTTATTACTAGTTAATTAATGTTAGTGTAACACAATGAGGCACACTGTTATTTATATAAGCTCATAGTTCTAAGAATTCATTTAAGGCGGTGAAGAATAAACCATCCCTTACATATGGACATTTAACAGATAGCAATGTATGAGAATAGTATCGGTGAAAAAATCGGTGAGGTATAATATTATTTAAAGGCGAAACTATATTCAAGCGATCTAAAAAGAAAAGAGTATCCAGAAGATTCGAGAGGGAAATAGCGCGATGCCCAAATTTTCCCTCTCACGAGATTCCTTAAGGGCTTTGTAAGTGTTGACAGACGTGAACTGATAACGTTGGCGTCTGTTTGGAGTTGATACACGAAGGAAGCCACAAGCAATGAGCAATTTCAAGTATTTTTTAAAGCTTTAAACTGATGAAAAATTAAGATTTATTGATTTAAAAGCACTTATTTATAGAAATTTGTTTATTTAGATTTAGTTTAGATGAAAGAAAAGTACTTATCTTAAAATTCCAGGATTTTGGAGTATATCCTTACATTGTCCGCTGTTTTATTCTCGTCAACATCGGAGCCGAAATTCATTGGAATGATATAGGTGTTGTAGAAAAAAACATTTTTCAAAGTAATTTAATTGATAATCACCAAGAGGAAAGGAAATTTTTTCACTTTTTTAGGGAGCGCAGCGATCGTGCTGCCGCTTGCCTCGGTGATCGCAACCCCGTTCACAATCGTCTATATTCCACGGTCTGACTTTTGCTCATGGTGTGGTTTCGGAATGAGAGAGGGAAAAAGACTCGTCCAAGGGCTCGCAATCGCTCATGATTACTGAAGCTGTTAACGGCATTTTGATAATGGTGCTTATTAATTAGCTTAAAAATGCTAATTTTATTTAGAGATTATGTAAGATTAATTAAGTCGAAAATTTCTTTTTATAAATTGGGCAAAAGTATCTCTTAATGTAAATATTTTATATGTTTATATTATTCGATATGAGTAGGTGATCCCATGCCAGTATTACAGGACATATTAACTAATTTATTGTTAATTACATTAATTTAAATCACATCTATATAATGACTAAATAATGGATTATCGGATTTCTGCGGGGAAAATTAAGAATTTCGCTTTTCATTGGGAACTTTGATCGAAGCCTGCTTGGAGTTCAAAGACGAATTTTACTGCGAGTTATAAGGTGGTTACCGAACTATTAGTTTAGTTACAATGTTGTTTCCTCTCTTGCCGGATTTCCAAGTTGCATTTGTTTATTCTGACCTTTATAGATTACAATAATAGTCTTGCAAACTGCTCCAGTTCTCATTTTGATCATTTATTGCCCTTGTCTTTTTTTCTAATGTAAATTCATTCTCTTTTGTGTGCTATACGGATGGTAGTAGGATTAATGATAAAGTTGGTTTTCCTTATGTTATTTTTGAAGATGATATTGAAATCGAGTACCACCAATTGCGCATTAGAAATAAATGTACTGTATATATTTCTGAGCTTCTGTGTGCAATTAAGTGGATAATTAGCCAATATGGAAGTGGTTCCAGCTACTTAATCTGTACGGATTCATTCTCTTCCTTGGAGTCCTCTTCATGTACTGATATTATTGTTAATATACAGCAGTCTCTCGGAAATCTGAAGAAGAAGGGTATTTCAGTATTTTTTACATTTGTTCGTGATCACTCAGGTAATTATGGAAACGAAAGAGCTGATTGGATTGCTAAGAATGCAACTAAAAATTATATTAATGTTGATTT